GTCCATAAATGGATCGCTGGAGCTTGCACACTTTGTTAGCACCTTTTGGATCGACAAAACCTTCTGGTTGCATCATATACAACTCTTCTTTAAGATATCCATTAAGGAATGCAGTTTTGACATCCATTTGCCAAATTTCATAATCATAAAATGCGGCAATTGCTATCATGATTCAGATGGACTTAAGCATCGCTACAGGTGAGAAGGTCTCATCGTAGTCAACTCCTTGAACTTGTCGAAAACCTTTCGCAACAAGTCGAGATTTGTAGACAGTAATATTACCGTCAGCGTCAGTCTTCTTCTTAAAGATCCATTTATTCTCTATGGCTTGCCAATCATCGGGCAAGTCAACCAAAGTCCACACTTTGTTCTCATACATGGATCCCATCTTGGATTTCATGGCCTCAAGCCATTTTGTGGAATCTGGACTCATCATTGCTTCCTCATAGTTCGTAGGTTCGTCATGGTCAAGTAACATGACCTCCAGAACAGGATTACCGTACCACTCTGGTGCGGATCTTACTCTGGTTGACCTACGAGGTTCGGTAGTAACTTGATCAGAAGTCTCATGATCATCATCATTAGCTTCCTCACTTACTGGTGTAGAAATCACTAGAACTGATTTCTGTGATGAACTACTTTCCAATAAGGGAGCAGGTACAATTACCTCATCAAGTTCTACTTTCCTCCCACTCACTTCTTTCGAGAGAAACTCCTTCTCTAGAAAGGATCCATTCTTAGCAACGAATATCTTGCCTTTGGATCTGTGATAGAAGGTGTACCCAACAGTCTCCTTTGGGTATCCTATGAAGACACATTTCTCCGATTTGGGTTCGAGCTTATCAGGTTAAAGCTTTTTCACATAAGCATCGCAGCCCCAAACTTTAAGAAACGACAACTTGGGTTTCTTGTCAAACCACAGTTCATATAGTGTCATCTCAACGAATTTTGGGGCATGAATATAACATTGACTTAAGCCTCCCCCAAGCTTGAGCGATACTTTCTCCTTCGCGAGGCCAAAAATTATATATATATATATATATATATATATATAATTACGATCACGATGAACCAGATGCATAGGATAAAACTTCTGATGAAATTCCAATTTCAATCGATTGTAGTTCCATGATCCAATATCATCACATAGCCTAAACCATGTCAATGCATTTCCCTTCAAAGATAAAGGGAAGACCTTCTTCTTGATAACATCCTCGGGCATACCTGCAAGCTTAAATAATCCACAAACTTCATCCACATAGATTAGGTGCATAACGGGATGTAATGTTCCATCTCCTGTAAAATGATTAGCTAGCAGTTTCTCTATCATACCCGAAGGAATTTCAAAGTAAACATTTTCAGTAGGTTCAGTAGGTTGAGGAGCAACTCTTTGCTCTACTGGTCGGGGTGAAGATACCCCGAACAAGCCCCTCAAAGGATTATTTTCCATAGTAACAAGTGACAGTAAATTTCAGCACACTATATAAATTTTTCCTTACCAAATTCCACTTACCAAAGGCGCTTCACTCCCCGGCAATGGCGCCAGAAAAAAGTCTTGATGACCCACAAGTATAGGGGATCTATCGTAGTCCTTTCGATAAGTAAGAGTGTCGAACCCAACGAGGAGCAGAAGGAAATGACAAGCAGTTTTCAGTAAGGTATTCTCTGCAAGCACTGAAATTATCGGTAACAGATAGTTTTGTGATAAGGTAATTTGTAACGAGTAACAAGTAACAAAAGTAAACAAGGTGCAGCAAGGTGGCCCAATCATTTTTGTAGCAAAGGACAAGTCTGGACAAACTCTTATATAAAGGAAAGCGCTCCCGAGGACACATGGGAATTATCGTCAAGCTAGCTTTCATCATGCTCATATGATTCGCGTTCGTTACTTTGATAATTTCCCTTTGGAATATCTTCACATTGAAGGCTAGTTTCCATAGAAAGTTTGTCCGAATTTGAGTGTGCCAGCTTATGTTTTGACAAAACTAGTAACTCGCACACATAATCATAGTTTCCAAGGTATTCTAGAGGCCTCCCAATTCTAGATTGTGCTATGAGGGTTTTCTATCGCAACAAAAAAGTCCAGATTATGTGCCATACCACTACCAAGTCCTAAAGGGATGATTGCATCATATAATGTATCTGTATTTCTACTCATTGTGGATAAGAACAAAAGATACGTCAAGCTTTGTGGTACTCCAAACGATGAGGTGCGGAGGCAGGCCACCATGGCATACTTATAGCCTTACCGCAATCCTTCTACATAGCTGCATATGCGGTACTAAAGAGAACTTAAGTAAATTGTTTTTAGACAACATCTAAGGAACACACCTCTTCCCCATGTTATTTATTACACTCTCCACAACTTGGACTGGGATTTTGTGCATACTAAATTCCTAAGAGATGTGAGTCTTTGGTAATGCAGCCTCTTCTGGGGCAAGGCTGACTTTACTCAACTCCTCTTTGTCTAGTATTGTGTATTACTATATGTCCATGTTCTTGTTGTCTAAGACCTTTACTAAAAGGCTTGACAATTATAGACGCCACATTTCTTTTGGCACGGGGGAAGTGGGAAAAAGAGAGATACTATCTCGTTAAATGGTCTCGAGTTTGTATATCTAAATGTAAAGGTGGACTTGGGGTGAAAGACCTCCGCAAGCAAAACATTAGCTTGCTTGTGAAGTGGTGATAGAAACTTGACACCCAAGAGGGACTTTGTCAAGATGTTGTGAAAAGGGGTTTTCCCCCGCTTTGTATTACAAAGCAACCATCACCGATACAGTCAACGATAGGTGCTGGGGCGGAAGCAACACAGTCACACCCAAAAGAAACGAAAGAGAAAACAGAAAAAGAAACAATGCGAACAGCGACGGGTCAACGAAAACGAAGGAGACCCGCAACCGCTGCGCCCACCGGAGAATTCCACCACACTCCAAGCGCTTCGGACCGCCGCATATCAAGCAACACCTTCAAGAAGCATCGCGACGCCAACCACGCTGCTGCCCGGACAAGTCCTTGGGTTTCCCCCGGTACACAGAGGGGTGCGGGGGAAGGGGTAAACCCGACGCCCTTTAGGAAGGCATGGGGGCGCCCACAGGCGTCACCGCGTCGGTGCCGGACAAGCCGACAAGGATTTCTCCTGACCACCAACCACCCATGGCCCCAGACGATCCATCGCGCGCCATCAAACACGCTGCCCACCAACATGCGCCACCACGGCCGTGCAGTCCCCATCGCCATCTCACCATGGCAAACGAAGCGAGACCGGCAGGAACAGAGGAGGTAACCAGGAACTTTAAACGTGATATTGTTGCCACTGTTAAAGAGAAGTTCTTTGATTCCCCTGTTTGGAAAGCCACTGTGAAAGTCAAGGAACACTATATGCCTAGTAGAAAAATAATTCTTAATTATGGTAATTATCGTTTAATCCTCTTAGTGGGGATCAACCTTTGTACTCCAAATCTCCACAGCTGTTTCAGTATCTGTAATATGCAGGATATTACTGTGGACAAAAGGTCTTCTATTTTTTTCTTTTTGCGGGTGGACAAAAGGTCTTCTATGAATACGAATACTTCTTTAAAAGACGTCTTTATCCTCGAAACGTGTGGTATATATGTAGGTTTAATTGAAAAGCCAGTCAATAATTTTGTTGATCACATTAACAGTTAAGGGTTTAAACAGTCTAGTAATAAATCTGGCTAGAAATTAGGAGTAGCAAGAGCTAACCTAAGTACTCCCTCTGTCCAGAATATAAGAACGTTTTTGACACTATGTTAATGTTAAAAACGTTCTTATATTTTGGGACGGAGGGAGGCCCGTCATTTCTGGCATTGTGGGGAATGACCCCTACTCTGACTACTGAATGCCTTGTCGAAGATCGGTTGTGAAGATCGAAGACATGCATGTATAAGCGATGGTTTTCATCGGTGATCTTTACTCTCGGTGCTACAAATGAAGCTCATTCTTATAGCCTCACCACGACGCATATTCTAGATGTACTCCCTTCGTCCGAAAATACTTGTCATCAAAATGGATAAAAAAAGATGTATCTAGAACTAAAATACGTCTAGATACATTTCCTTTTATTCATTTTGATGACAAGTATTTTCGGACGGAGGGAATACAATGTGATAGTAAATGCTCATTCAGAAATCAGCATGTGTGTGTGCGTTTTGGCTGAGTTAGAACTCAGCATTTGTTGCTGTCAGAGAAGCTATTGCGAGTCACGGAGTACTTCCTTTGTAAAGAAATATAAGACATTTAGATCACTATTTTAGTGATATAAATATAAGACATTTAGATCATTACTTTAGTGATATAAATGCTCTTATATTTCTTTGCAGAGGGAGTACGTTACACTTTTATAGTATTTCTTTAGTTCACATGAGCAAGACTTTAAATGCAGAAAAAATAAGTACAACTTTTCTAGAAACTTTGGTATCAAACAGTACTACAAAAATAGTTTGCAACTAAACAGGGCCTAGATGCAAAAAAAAAAGAGTATTCCTTCATTCCTTGCATCCCATTCAAGACAAGATCTCAACCAAAGAAAAAAAAAGATCTTTCTGATCCACCTCAACCAGGCATGCACTTCTCGCATATTATATATTTACACATGAATATTTATACTCCCATGGACAATACACAGTTTTAAAAGAAAAGCACATTATCATACCCTATATCTATTTTCTATTCAAAATGAAAAAAAACTCTATCTACTCTCCTCTAAGTACAAACATAGAACAAATAAACAAAACTGTATGCTTCACTAAAGGAGTCCGGGGATGATAGGCGACAACTTGTCACTTTTAAGCACATTGCCCTTCAGGTGGAATGGGCAAAATCCGGGATGGTATGACACGGCAACCGACTGAAGTACTGAACCACCATCACTTCCCACCTCCTAATCTGCTAAATCAAAGCGCTCTGGCGACTGTTTGGAAAAGAGATGCTTGGCCTTCCAAGCAACCAGGCATGCATGGCACGGCACCAGAGTGGTCTCAAAACCAAAAGCTGTTGCCGTTGTTAACCCACTGCACGAATTGCTCGGGTAGCTTCTGAGCCTGGACCCCCGCGACTTGGTTTTCCTGAAAAGATTTGGATAAGGTGATTGGTTTTATTCATAGACACAAATACAATGTCAATGACGCATATCTGTGTAGCCTGGCATTGTAAATCAACACACTAGTACTTTCCAAATTAATCTAGAACACATTCTTTTTTTTTCTTTTTTTTGCGGGGAAATCTAAAAACAAGAACAAAATGCAAATCTGAGTGTGGAGATCCGAGGGAGGGAATTTATGCTGACCATAGTCTCAGGAATTATGTCACTAATGACATTCTCGGTTGAAAGGTGAGCATCCGGTGTGCTAACTGCAAGCGACCTGTTCAAGCACGGTTTAACAGGATACGGTGAGAAGAATATTGTCTTGTCGGTATCTTTAGAGCAGTAAAGCAATGAGCGGGCTGGAAGAAATTGGATGAACAACAAAAGCTAACAAAAATGTTTCTAATTTGCTTCGTTGTAGATATGATTTGACCAAATGGTACCTCGATCATTTTGTTCAATAATACTAGATGGTTATGTCATTGCCAGAGCAGGACTTCATACTGATGTGTTACTATTGTATCTAATAGTGCAATGATGGTCATGTGATTGCCAGAGCAAGAAGAAAATGATCGTAGTACAATGGATCAATGATTCCTTCAATTTCATTTGTGTGTTCCCTTTATGTTCACAAACAGAAAAGTACATGCAGCAAATGAGCACAATTTAATGTTATTACTCGGATATTAGTCAAGTTAAAGGGTCGATGTTAAGCATACATGGGAGAGACAATTACAAAATATAAACACAACGCAAAATATGACCTTTCATCACTTGAATTGCCTGAATTTGAAAGCCATTCAAGATCCAGGAAGTTTGAATCACCCGAATTGCAAGGGTCAAGTTGACTGCTTGGGACATCATGTATATGATCATGAGACAGTGTGGGGGTGTATCTGCAGTAGGTTTTAGAGACGAATAAAGTTGTCAAACATAAAGGATGAACCTGCAGTTATTTGGAACAACACAGTTTTACTTTCTAGTGAACTATCGTACAAGCAACCAAAAATAAAACCAAATGTATAAAGCCTGAATTAACACAAACTGACCTTGAATTTGACATTTTACTTTCAATGGGTGATGTAATCTCATTTACATACACCAAATCAGACTCCATTTTTGAAGATTGCAACTCAGTACGGACATCAGGTTGCGCTGCAGTCAACAATTCATTATGGCACCCACTACAGCCAGATATAGATGTGTTGCTTACAGAAAGGATGCTGCCATCTGAATTCACTCTTTTGATACTGTCACTGTGACATCAAACAAATAGTCAATGACAAGGTCTTTGCTGATTTACATAACACATGTTTCATACAAACTAAAACTTGGACGATCTTCAATTGTAACAACTGGGAAAGCTACCCATAGTAAATTGGCTAAAAGATCCTCATGGTGCTCATTAGTGTAAACAGAATCTTAGTGTTCCTTTGCACCATTGAAAAATTGAAAATGTGCACATAATTCAGTGTCACCATTATTTTGTTGATGCTGTATGGTGCATTACATATTAAGTGCATCCTTTTCTGGGCTAAAAATCTAGCATTCCTGGCAGTGTTATGCTATTGTACAACACACAATTGTGTTTTAGTATCATATGATACAGTCCTGGTATTTAGTTTTTTAAGACTGGAGTGCCTTGCGCTAGTTCGAATATATGATTTCCCATAAAAGAAATTCCAGGCTGTGCTTAATTTGTAACATTTTCTTATTGGATGGAGTATGTCAAATTACTCCAGATGTGAAAGGCGGACTCGTGTAGGGATTGTCCATCACACAGAAAATTTACATTTATAGTTTTATACAACAATTTTTTGGATTGCATACATGTGAAGCATTGCACATATTATCCTATATACCTAAGAGAGTGATCCCCACGCATTTTAGTGTATTTGTTTACTCATTTCAGTCCGTATGTAGTCCATATTGAAATATCTAAAACATCTTATATTTGTTTACATGGGGAGTATATATCCAGTTCCACAACGATGTGCGGGGTATCGTCTAGTTATTACTCCCTCCGTCTTTGAACTACAAAAACGTCTTACATTATGGGGCAGAGGTAGTATATGATAGTGTAAGGTGGATAAGCAGTAAATAGGTGTCTCATGTTTACCTTGTATGCCCAAAAGATCCATTGTTATGTTCCTCAGAAGATGATTCTAGCTCCCAGAGTGCAGGACTTCCCTGCTTTGGTTGGAAGTACCCCAAAAATCTATAAAAGTAGAACAGACTTGACGTGAGTCGACACTTCAGTTAAACAACTTGTTACTGCATGCTGAACATGGATTCTCAGTAAAACGTACAAGTTTATAGCTGCCTGTTTGTTAGCATCTATACAGGCGTTGCTGTAGTGCCGTTGTAGTGTCCTGAAGAACTCTTGTGATCGTATAAAAAGCTTCAAGTGTCCTCTCTTCGCAGAGAAGATCTTCAAGAAATAGCACATCAAAGAAAATTAGAGCAGTGTTGTACAACCAAACATGAAATCAAAATGCAAAATAAGTTGACAAGAAGCAGAACAAATACATTTTCCACTCGAAAATTGATAATTTGCTAGTAAAACTGAATGAAGATCCATACTAAATAAATAACATGTTTTTATTATTATGGACATCTCGATAAAGTAATAAACAGAATGGTATAATCTTAGTATCTTGTGGTATTCCACTTCTCGTATAGCGTTATGTTCAGTACCATGATCAATTAGTCATTGTTAAAGTTCAGAGGCCAGCGACACATCTAGAAACCATGGGAAAAACATATGATGATCATTCAACTTTTGGTTACAGTTCATATACATAACAGTTTTATAGTTGGCTTTATAGTTCTCCCAGAAGTTGCTATTATGTGGAACTGCTCATTCCTCTGGCAGCTTGGGAGACACTATATGATGCAAACAACTGCAGAGAGAGCCAAGTTGTCTTCATATGCCCAGATGGTACTTGCTATTGAAAGAAAGAGTACCTGAAACTGTAAACTAAAAAGGACTTGAGCCCCTCCCTACCATTACAAGCAAAGAATATACCACCAAATAGTGGGTTTCTTTCAAATACCTTATTATGAGCAGCCGACCCGCTATACTGTACGGCAAGTGTGTCACCCATCCTCTCATAAAAGTGCATCAAATGATGAGCCACGGGAGCACCTAAACCAAGTTCTGGGGATTCTACACAACCAAGTGCATGCAGCTGATGTCCAAGAGCAGCTAAACCATAGGCATATTGTGCAACATTTGTACGATCCAAGCAATCTATACAATTTGTCCGTAAGACACCTTTCTGGAAGATTGGTGGTTTTAGTTGGGGCAGTTCACTGGTTTCAGCTTTGTCTTCCGTGGTTCCATTGCCAGAGGAGTCAGAACTGCCCGAGATATCTTCTTGGGATATGTCACTGTTGCTGTTTTCATCACAAAAATATGGATCGTGACTGTGCCTATAAAGAACAAACAAAATTAGGAGATTAGATGCATAATGAAGAGCACTGGCACTTCTTGAAACAGAAGAGCACAATAGAAATCAAACTATGTATCAGACAAACCATATTGGGGAAATAGTAATAAAGACCAACTCACAATAGAGCAGGCCAGTGAGGAGCAGTCTCAGACCCTGTAGGTGGTGCAACTTGACAATAGAAGAACTCAGTCAACGTCAGAGCACGAAATGCCACTTTCAGAAGAACATCAAGTACATTTGTAGGTTCTCTGAAACAGAATTACTTCATTAATGCATGCTAGAGGCTACTGACATATTGAAATAAAATATGATAAATATAACAACAAATACCCTTGAGAGTTTTTATGCAGATCCCAATGTAAGAACCGCAGCTGGTTCTCCTCTGAAAACAATTTATTTATGATCCGTATTGCCTTATCAAATTCTCGACGAAGCATGGATTCCCGTCTTTCACGCGTCTTACATTATAGAACAGGGTAAATTAGCACTTATGTGTCAGCGTATCCAAAGATGTTGCTACTCCAGAATAAGATGGTACAACTCACCTTAATCAAGTTGAAGATAATTATAGGGTTGCCATATCTTCCCCTAAGATTTTCGAAATGAAGCTTGGTAGCTTCATAATTTTTGTCCTTCTCATGCACTGACAAAATGAGAAATGTTTATTTTTAAATGTTTTAATGATCCCACATACACCATAGAGAAGTTTAGGAGCTTACATATGATATCAGGTTTTATGTTCAATTTTGATGTATCCTGTGACCAGAATAGTGGGATCGAACCCCTGTTCTGCACAACAGAACTTACTTCTGTAGGCATAGGCACAGCTTCATACACAATTTGCTCAGTCTCAACATCATTCGCTACTCTTCCCTTCTCATTTACTCCCCTCTTTAAATATCTATACAACATCCATTAAAGCACTTCAATCCAAACATCATGCCAAACTAACAAAGAAATATTTAACGAATGTCTCAAATGGGCAAACCTGGTGCCAGCATAATGCCTTGAGCGCCTAGCAATGAGTGTGAACATAATGTCCTTCCCAGATATTGCAAATTTGTCCTAATAACATGGCATAAAAAATTGAACGTTCAGAGGCAAAATTTATTAATCTAAGACCAGCACTGCGCAATTGTGTTACGTAGTTATATATGAAACTGAGGAAAAAAGACTGGATTAAGATTGGTATTATAGAGATAAAATGAAGAACTATGTGATTATGTTATAAACAGGGGGGAAAATGAAGAAAGAAAGTGGGGGTTTGGATAGCAGATTTCTGTCAAATATTAGTAAGCTGAAAAAATTTAAATCCAGTCAAAGTTACTCCTAATTCCTAATGCCTCCATTTCATAAAAACGAAAAATTATCTTAGAAAACTATACACATCTGTGGGCATTATATAGCAATTTAAAGGCAACTTTCTTTGGCACATACCTGCTTAAAAAAACCATAGACTAATGCAACAGTCCACAAAGTACTTTGTAGACAATTGCGTATTTGTCGAGTAAGAAACTCATTCCACACAAATGTTGACTCATATAGTGACCACCCTTCTTGTGGATCCCTTAAATTCTTCTGAAGACCTCTCATGATAGGGTATGAGTAACTGAAAAAGAAGTCCTTCCTAAGATCAAGTGTGTTCAAAATCTTCTTGTATCTGTGGAGTTATAGAAAGGGTGAGCTTGCTACTAGGAAATGAACATTAGTAATGGAATATTGGGATTCATGTTTCGGTTCTTGAAAATAAAATCAATATTGTACTTTGTGAGCTGTTCGTCTCTAGGAAGTACAAAAGGAGCCTGATAATTTAAGGAAACTGTTGGTAACATGGATCCACTACATAGTGATGCATTTGAGACGCATAAGATTCCTCCGCACAACAGTGGAAGCTTATGAAGATTTGAATAACAGTGCAATACTAATACAAACTTAAAATATTTCAATGAAAAGTTAAGTACAGTCAACTTTTTTTAGGGGTTTGAGTACAATCAACTAATAAAGTTCATAATAGACAAAAAATTGGTAATATTCATTCATATAGTTTCATCAACAATAATTCTGCTCCATCAATCTAACAAATTCAGTGTGATAAAAAAACATTTTCAAGCACTGGTAGTAAGGAGATGCACAAACCTGTTCTCATCCCTGGGATTCAGAAAACTGGATCGAGATTTAGAATTTGCTAACTCAATCATTGAAGTCTTAGTCACCTGATACACTGGATGATCAAATATCTCCCCAATTTTTCTCTGTTCGGTAATAATTAACATATAAAATGGCCCAAGGAACTTAATGAAACCTGGAGAAAAAGATTACTGTAAAATAAAAATCCATTCAAATAATTTATTCTGGGTTTGCAAACAACGAGAGAATGTCTTACCAATTATGCCATAAAACTTTGTCACAAATTTAACCCCACCAGTTGACCTGTGATCTTCATCAAGACCACTCACCAGTTCAAGATACTCAGCTTGTGTATATACAGTAGAACACTCGTCTATGTCAAGCTCTGATGTTTCCGATCTATCGATTTTGAGTAGCCTCCATACTGTTTTGTCAGCATTAGTTCCAAAAATATAAAATCTCTGCAAAGCAAAGGAAAAACATACTCAGCTCAATTTTGGTTGGAAGAATGAAATAGTGAACCAGGAAATTGATCAACTTCTCATACGTCTTAACTATTCAAGCATTGAGCTACAAATACAGTGAAAAACAAATTGATCCTATGAATTGTTGAACTAGGAAGTTTCACCGGCCAGCAGGACCTTACAGTTCTATTTACGTGTGAATAGAATCATAAATGCTTGTCACCATTTTGGATGCTGGCAATCTAACAGAGTTGCTACCTGCTAACAATCAAACTATAACAGTATGGAGAAGACCCGCCTCCAAAAAGAAACAATATCGACAAGACAAACAACGGTGGGGGAGGGCCCCACCTGAATTACTTATTAAAGACAACAACGTATTCAAACCTGGGGGTTGGCGGGTCTATAAAGTTGCCTTTCATCTAAAAAAGAAACAACGTACAGGTGGCAGGATTTTACCACCCCATGCTAGGCGTGGAAGGAGGGGTGGGGAGTACCCAATGGGGGAGGGGGGTGGGAGAAGCTTAATCTCTCGCTTTTCAAAATCAGCGCACTAGAACGGGATCGCCATAAAGCCGACACAGGAGGAGGCGGAGCCAGAGTTCTGCACGCTCAAGAATCATGCCTATAACCCTGGGGACTGGGGGAGGCACGCACATCCGAAAACCAGGCTGTCCATTATTTTTCAGGTAACCCGCAGCAAGAGGAGGATGAATGTGTTTCGAAGGACGTAGGAAAAACAGCCCAACTGCTGAGCATAGAAGTTGCAGGTTTGCAGCCGTCTTCAAGCATCGAGACAACCACAGGGGGCACGCCCACAGGTCATGACTATAGGAGGTGCGGGAGTATAGGACGTGGACGATGTCTTCGTCGGCAGCAGAGTAAAGAGGGGCAGGAAAGTTTGAAGATGCTTCCTCGAAACCATCTCAAACACATCAAGCCCGTGAATTCCTGTAGTTAGAAAACCATCTCAATTCTCAAACAAAGAGCTCTATGCTTTTCCTCTCCCGAGTAACCACAAATAGAAACCCATAATCCCTTTAGACGTAGAGGGACCTCCCAACTCCCCTCTCACACACATTGCAAATATCTTGCAAAAACCATTTCGAGAATTATGGACCCTTTCCACACAAGGGAACTAGCATGCCGGATTACTCCGCAGAGGGAGAAGAAATCTAACTAAACTGCAGCAGCCGCGGGCATGCAAGCACCATAGTCTGGCATCAAAGCTACGGCATGAATTGGTCTCGGAAGATAGAAATCTCCCCATAACCCAAGCAGCTAGAATTACTAGACCAAACAACCTGAGGGCCTCTACTAAGCGCGGAAATCTCGGGCCTCGCCCAAACCAAGCGATCTGGAGGACCGCATCGCTCCCTAACCACGCTACGGCAGCAGCAGCAGCAAAGCACGGCGTGGGCAAGCGCACTGGTAGCAGGAAGCGAGGCGGGTGAGGGAGGAGGGGGGGCCATACCGATGCGCTCTCATAGAGGTCGAAGCTCTGCAGGCAGGCCGGCTCGGCCTCCTGCGCCGCGGCCGCCATGTGCGCCCGGCCGGATCAACCGCCTGGGCCGCCGCCTCAGGCCCCGACTCCGCGCGCAACGGGGCCGCCGCCGCGCCCGCTCCCGCCAAACCCTAAATCCCCGGCCGGCAGCTTGAGGTAGAGCATTCCCCGCCGGAGCGCGCCCGGCGAATCAGAGCAGCAGCCCTCCCCGCGCGGCCGAGGGCCCGGAGCCGGAGCCGCGGACCGGGAGAGGCTTCTGGAGCAGGGGGAGGAGATTTGGTGGGCGGGGGAGGGATTGTTGGCTGGCAGCGATGAAATCGTGAGTTGGCGGAGGCGGAGGAGGAGGAGGCGATGGTGTGGCGGAATACAGCTCGCTACGGGAATTTGTTTTCTCCGTTTCCCCGTTCGGGACGTAACACCGGGTTGTGTGTGAGGCTACCGTGATGGAATATTCGTGATATACATAGCCTAATGCCCTTTTCTTGTTATTATTATTTTGGAAGGATGATAATAAAATTCTAGTCAGGCCCTGAATAAGTAAAAGGTTATACGTGTATCAAAATGCGTCTTCTGATAATGTTTATAGGTTTTATTTCGCCGCGTGACACCTAGGCCCCGCATTAACGCGGAGGGATTGCTGAGGAAGGGACTGATGTCTTTCTATTTTGCGCATTGCGCGTGTTCAAACCGTCTATTATCGTGGAAGAGAGAGCTAGAGAGGGAGAGAAGGGTTGGATTTGAAACTTTCAAGTGTGAGATGGTTTTGTAAAAGTAGTGTGCTGGATGACAATTTTATAGCATGTCACGTCTAACCGATAGATAGAGGATATGTCAACTTAATAGAGAGGTATAATAAAAATGCTAAAAGGGCAAGGAATTTTATGTCAAACAAATAAATGATTTGTAAACCAATGAAACTATATACATGGGAGAAAGTGGGTCTCAGTGGAAAAATGGGTAGGTTTTATTTGGGCAAGACACCTAACAACATTATTAACTTGGCTGCTCTATTGAGGGAAGGAATAATGCATTTTTGCGTTATAAGTTTTGCGTGTTTGAGTTGTCCAGTAACATGAGAGACTGAAAATTTGAAGTTGAATCTTTCAACTTAGATGGTTTATGAAGTAGCATGTTCGACGTTAGTTTTATAGCATGCTACGTCTAATCAAGAGCTAGGGAATTTGATGGCGTAATGAAGAGACACAAGGAAAATAGAAGGCTAATGTTGTCTCCGGTTCGGGAAAAATAAGATATATTCAAAGGAAACAACAAAGTTGAAGTACGGACTCGGGTTGTGGTTTCCCGCCTAAAAGAAAAAAAACCTAAACTATGTTTGAAAATTTTGTCGTTGTCTTCTTTTGAAAATACGACAAAAACTCACTTTCATAATGTATGACAAAGTCGAAGTACGGAACTCGGGTTGTGATTTCCCGTGTAGAAGGAAAACCCTAGACTGTGTATGAAAATTTTGCAGTTGTCTTCTTTTGAAAATACGATAAAAACTTACTTTCATAATCTACGAAAAAGCCGAAGTACGGAACTCGGCTTGTGGTTTCCCGCGTAAAAGGAAAACCCTAGACTATGTATGAAAGTGTTGTCGTTATCTTCTTTTGAAAATACGACAAAAACTCACTTTCACAATGTACACAAAGTCGAAGTACGGAACTCGGGTTGTGGTTTCCCGCATAAAAGGAAAACCCTAGACTATGTATGAAATGTTGTCGTTGCCTTCTTTTGAAAATACGACAAAAACTTGCTTTCATAATGTACGACAAAGTCGAAGTATGGAGCTCGGGTTGTGGTTTCCCACGTAAAAAGGAAAACCCTAGAGTATGTATGAAAGCTTTGTCGTTTTTTTTTTTTGAAAATACGACAAAAACTCACTTTCATAATGTACACAAAGTCAAAGTACGAAACTCGGGTTGTGGTTTCCCGATAAAAGGAAAACCCTAGACCATGTATGAAAATTTTGTCGTTGCCTTCTTTTGAAAATACGACAAAAAACCTAATTTCACAATGTACGACAAAGTTGAAGAACGAAACTCCGGTTGTGGTTCCCCGTGTAAAAGAAAAACCCTAGACTATGTATGAAAATTTTGTCGTTGTATTCTTTTGAAAATATGACAAAAACCTCACATTCACAATGTACGACAAAGTCGAAGTACAAAACTCAGGTTGTGGTTTCCCGCATAAAAGAAAAACCCTAAACTATGTATGAAAATTTTGTCGTTGTATTCTTATGAAAATGCGATAAAAACTCGCTTTCATAATGTACAACAAAAATGACGCAAGTGACTAAATCATAAAACTAATTTTAGCTTTTAATGCAAAAGACAATAGCAATAACACTATTCTGGAAGAAATCATCCGCTCTGCTGGACGTGTTCTGCTGGGGACCAGGCACCGAGGCCTCCAGAGCCACTCGTTCCCCGCCTTATCTGTTTTAAGGGCGGTCGTCTCCTACCTCTCTACACAGCACCAGCTCTTCACCGTCCTCCATAGCAGCGCAGCACCAGCTCCCCACTGTCTTCGCATCAGTTGCTCCCTACCGTCTTCCACAACACTAGCTCCCCCCCCCACCGGAGCCCGCGTCAGCACCACGTCGCTGCTGCAACCCTGCGGCAAGCGCCCGCGTAGCAGCCGTGGATGCAGGAGCTTCTCGATCCCTCCGCAACAGTTGCACTGGTCGGCGACTTGGCGTCACGCAGCTCACCATCGGCCTTGTAGCAACAACATTTGCTGGCGACAGCAGCGACTGCAATCCACCCGTCGTTGTCGCGCCCTTTGTTGCAGCACCCTCTCGCCGCCGCGGTGTGATGAAGTTCCGCCGCACCGGCGGTGGCGCTCCAATAAAGCTTCTCCGACGACCATCGAGTGTTGCAATGGAGCTTTCGACGGGGGCAACCAATGGTGCGATGTAGCACCGCCTGTGCGATGGTGTGTTGCAATGAAGTTTTGCCGGCGGCGGCGGGTGTTGCACTTGTAGTGCCGCCGCGCCGGTGTGTCGCTGCAGTGGAACATCGCCGGTGACCGTCAGGTGCTACGATGGAGCACCGTTGCGCCGTCATCAGTGCTGCAGTGCCGCCGCACCGGTGTGTCGCTGCAGTGGAACATCGCCGGCGACCGTCAGGTGCTACGATGAAGCATCGCCGGCGGCAACGGGTGCATCTTGCAACAATGAAGCGTTGCCGTGTCGGTCTGTCGCTGCAATGAAGTGTCGCCGGCGGCTACCCGTGCTCCGATGCTGCGCTCGTCGAAGGCTTCGGGTGATGTGAGATCGAAGCAGATGACGGACTGGTTGTGTGATGTGAGGAGGAAGAAGTGTGTGCGTTGACCATTCGAAGGGGCGAGAGGAAGGAATCCAACGGTGTGGTCAGACTAATCATACAGTCAGCAAGGCGTCTTAAAATTTCTTTGCATCAGACGGTTGATTTGTAGCACTGGCCAAAAATAAATAAGAATATGTTAAACTAGAAGACGGAAAAAAACGATGAAGATAAAGTTGCAATAAGTAGCTCAGTTTTCCTGCGTTAAATTAGTACTGGTTTTATTTGTTTTGTCTTCATAGATTTTTTTTTTGTTTCCATAATTTACGACAGAACCATCCAAATGAAATGACAGGGCAGGGGATAGACATTCTGCATTAAATAGAGAAGAAATTAATAGAGAAGAAAAGCAATAAAAAAGAACCAGCTCACAACGGAGGAATTTGCTGCGAATTCAAATACGGAGAAGAAGCCCTCTGGAGACCACACGAACCGTTCGCGGGAAAAAAAGAAAGCGTTGCGATCTAGCCGCGGAATCTGATCCCGCGATCGACCCATGAATATGTCAGCGCAGGGGCTGAGTCAAGCCCGGGCGCGCCAGCTGGGGAGGCCGAGCCGGAGCCGTTGACCCGACACGCGGCGCGGTCCGGCTGGACGAGCCTCGGCGCCTGCGTGCCGGGGGCGCCGCAATGATTGGGCCATCGATGCGTTGCGACCGGGTGCGGGGGCGCACCACGCCGCGAGCCTGCGGCCGCGGACTCTGGAGCCCTCGCTGGGGCCGGCCATCTGGCTCGTACACATACCTCGAAAAACTATTCTGGGTGCCGTTTGTTCTCAAAATAAAATGATCAAGTTGCATACGGTCACAAAAAATATATCATCAAGTTGCATGGCGTCAACTATAGTAAAATTGTGTAGGCTCGTTCGCAGGACTGTTGGCATTGCCACGTTACGAGGACGTATAAGTTACCTCCACTTGTCCGGAATGTAGGTCTTTTGTGACTACTTTTTACTGTGCCATTAAATAAATCAGTTTTGCTAAATCTCAATAGACTTAGACTTCGTTATGTCTCAATCGACGTTATATTACATTGATCTTGCATTGAGATTCGTACATTTTTTCTTCAGTTTTCCCTTTTTCTTTTCATATACTAAATCACTTGATTGGGTCTTGGTTAAGTCTCGATCGACTAAGACCTAGACACACCCTAAATAAATATTTGACATGCAAGCAATTTTGTCTTACATAAAAATAATTAGAATTATATTCCACAAAAAACAGTTGGCAATTTTTTGACGTTTTGTCAAGCAATTTTTTTATGTTATTTGATACTAGTATTTTTTTTATGGAAATTCAATTAAAAAAACAAATACCAAGTGGTGGTGGTACTCCTTCTTTTCATAAATATATTAGCATGTGTGTGTAGCTTCTCTAACCAACTAAGTAATGGCCAGCAAGTCCACTCAACAGCCAAATGATAATCTTGAAAATGTCCATGTGCTCCTTGCCCTCCCATTTTCTCTATCAAGTTATCACATCAAATGGTAAATATATATGCTGAATCGCGCATATAAACACGAAGAGATCTCTGCGCCCTTTCGTGTCCACACGCACATTTGCGACATGCCAATATTTTTTCATCCGAACTCTTCACATAGTCCCTAGTTAATACCCGGGTCGGTCTCGACGTTTTAGCGTTGGAGAGTTGAAGATCGCTCGCCGGGGCGCTGCAACAAGCCAATAGGCCAACTGGCTGGCTGTGCCTAACCTGT